GGCTGCCGTCGTGGTCGAGGTTGTGGTGTTTGGGCGGTCGACCGTATGTTGATCCGTTTTTTGGAGTCGCGCTTTTGGCAGCCAGACGCGAGAGCTGTGCTCCCGCTGCAGCGCTCGACAGCCAGGTCCAGTCCACTAAATTTTGGGTTGGACAGTGGGGGAGGGGCATCTCACCCTGCGACTGTGATTGGAGCGCTGCCGTCTTTCGCTCCCCTGTGAGCAACGACAGACGCTCGGAGCACATTTTCCTCAGCTCCCTCGCAGCTCTCGGTACGTACCGAATGCACGCCTCGTGACGTAGCGGAACCGGCGCATTGCACCTGGTCTGGTACCTTTAGCTCACCGAACTTGCAGCTTAGCTTCGGTAGCTCAGGTTGCTCCCGTCTGCTCTCTCCTTTGCTCCAGCCTACCTTCTCATCCACCGAACCGACCTCCCTCATTCAACCTCGCCCGCGAGACGACAGCGCTGCCCAATCGATCGTCAGCTAGCCATGCGATTGTCCATGCCGACGGCATCATTGGCACAATGACGGACGCTTCACCAGAGCCAGCCCCAGTCGAGGCCCAAACGAAGCCCGTCGTCGAGGACTCCGGCTCCGAATCCGAGCGCGACATTTCCAGCCCGTCTCCCGAACCACCGAGTGCGGCGCAGAAGGGCAAGGCGCCCGATGTCCCAGAGGAGACCACGCCTGCAGATGTAGCGGGGCAAAAGGCGGAGAAGAAGGCCGAGGTCCACGAGGCAGAAGATGATGACGATGAAGACGAGGACGAGGACGAAGACGAGGATGATGATGATGACGACGATGATGATGATGAAGACGAAGAGCCGAGGCTCAAATATGCCAGATTGACCCAGCATCTGGCCCCCATCTATCGTAATGGCGACGCGACCAGCGCATTCCTTGTAGCCGGAGACAAGATGGTATGCACCTGTGCACGCCTTACACTTCATGCCAACTGACAATGTCCGCGTAGATTATTGGAACGCATAATGGCGTTATCGTAGGTGTTTCTTCTCCATCCTCATAACATCTGCTTACAAGGTCTAGCACGTAATTCAATTGCCCATGTTCCAGTCCCTTCGAGTTTACAAGACCTTCTCCGCCTCCGTCACGAGCATTTCGATATCACCGAATCCTCCACCGCTCCCAACGGCTCGCGCAGAAGCTGTCCAGAGACTTGCTCAAGAAGCCGCCGAAAGTGTTGCCAGGAGGCCCTCGACGCAGCAATCGGGCTCGCCAGCAGCTTCTCGTAGACCAAGGGAGCCGACGCCCATCCCGAACACGCCCTCCAACAATATCCATGTTGCGACGTCGTCCATGGACGGAAATGTCTGCGTGTTTTCCCTGACCGATCCCAAAGACACCCAGCTGCGCAACTTTGCCCGGCCCGTTCAGGGGGTGGCTCTCTCCCCCGACTTCAAGAACGATCGGACATACCTCTCAGGTGGTTTGGCTGGCCAGCTTATCCTGACGGTTGGAGGATCACCTGGACGGAGTACATCCACCACCGTGGGTACCGCTGCGGCCACAGCGTCTGGATGGCTTGGCAGTATGGGGTTGGGTGCGAACACTGGCAAGGATACTATTCTGCATTCCGGCGAAGGCACCATCAGCGCGATCAAGTGGTCTCTATCGGGCAAATATGTTGTGTGGCTGAACGAACATGGAGTCAAGATCATGCGCTCAAAGCTCCATCTGGATAGCGGAGACTCTGAGGATGCGTGGAAGCGTATTGGGCATATTGACCGTCCGCAGACCGACGAGTGGGAAGCAATGGCGAGCGCGTGGAAAGGCCGTGCCGAGTGGATTGACGAACAAGCCGTCGAAACGGATGAGACCGAAGTCGTCCAGACCGACGTCGTCGGCACTCCTACAACCGAGAGTTCGAAGCCCCTGGCCACCTCGCATTATAAGAAAATCGAAAGGCTTGTTGTGGGATGGGGAGGTACGATATGGATTATCCACGTGCACCCCGGCAGCCCTGCGACGGGTAAACGTGGGAGTGAAAAGACGATTGGTCGTGCCGAGATCGCCAAACAGTGAGTGCATTATGGCGCTCTTGAAGGATTTTGGCTAACATGACGCAGCCTCCGTATGGATTGCATCATTTCTGGAATTTCGTTATATACCCAAAATCTCCTCCTTGTTTTAGCATATGTTCTACCAGACGACGACGAAGATAGCGATGACGAAACCCAGCTGGCGAAGGGCCACAAATCAAAGCCTTCCACGACTTCGACGAGCAGCGAGCCTTCCGGAGGTAGAAGGCGTCGGCAAAACCATCTGCCGCCGGAGCTCAGGCTGATCGATCTCACATCGCAAGCTGAAGTCGATAAAGATGGCCTCAGCGTGAGTCGATACGAGAGTCTAACGTCCGGCGACTACCACTTGGGTGTGCTTCCAGCTCAGAATGCCGCCTCGGCTGTCTCTGCATCAAAAGGAGCCCTCGACACCATTGCTGGTATTGGTTCGGACATGTGGAATGCCGCCACCAACCCGAGGGCCCTCTTCAGTTCTGGCGCCAGTATCAAGAGCAAGAATAGCGGGGATGATGTGTCCAGCACTCAGGTCCCGAGCATGGCCGCAGGCCCCCGCAGACCGGCTCAGCAAACAGTGCATCCGAATCTGATCAAGCCCGGAGTCAAGGTCTTCATCCACAGTCCGTTTGACTTCATTCTGGCCACAAAACGCGATCTTGGGGACCATCTCGGGTGGCTGCTCGAACATCAAGAATACCAGAAGGCCTGGGAGCTTCTTGATGAACACCCAGAGATTATGGCTGCACCCCCTGAAAACTTGCATGAGCTAGTCCCGACGACGCCAGATAGGAAGTCGGCGAGCCAGGATGAATTACTGGACGATGGATCGTCTGTCATGGGGTCAGTGGGTTGGGCTAAGAATCCAAACTCTTCCGCACAAAAGGAAAAGCGACGAATCGGCGAGCTTTGGATACGGGAGCTAATCGAAGCCGGCAACTGGTCGGAAGCCGGTCGCGTCTGCGGCAAGGTCCTTGGATCATCCGAGAGGTGGGAGAAATGGGTCTGGACATTTGCCGGTGCCGACAAGTTTGACGAAATTACCAACTACATCCCCTCCGAGCCCATGTACCCGCCGATTCCGCGCACCATCTACGAAGTCATTCTGAATCACTACATTCAGGCAGACAAGCTACGATTTAGAGAACTGCTGGATCGATGGTCGACAGACCTCTTTGACATCAAGATTGTCACCACAGCCTTGGAAAACCAGCTCAAATATCGCGATGTCCGCGAGGACAGTATCGAGGGCGGCGAGAGGGGTCGTGACTGGAAGATTGTCGTGGAATCATTGGCACGCTTGCACGAAGCAAATGGCCGATTCCGAGAGTCGCTGAAATGCTACATCAAGCTTCAAGACGCTGACTCTGCGTTCCGGCTCATTCGCGACAACCATCTTGCGGAGGCCGTTGCAGATGACATTCCCAGCTTCATCGGCTTGCGGGTACCACAAAACCGAGAGCTTATGCGAGAACCCGACTTTGAGGCGGCCACGGCTGAAGCGATAACACTGCTTGTCGACGAAGCTCAGCACGGTCTGGTCAAGCCTTCAGTGGTTGTGTCGCAGCTCCTCGAGAAGGACCTGAAGCTGTATCTCTTCTTCTACCTGCGTTGCCTGTACAAGGGCGAAGGCATCGAGGAGCATTCGGGCGAGAACCGCGACAGGATTTTGATGGACAGCCAGTCGCTCGTTGACGAGTTTGCGGACTTGACCGTTCAGTTATTTGCCAAGTACGACCAGTCCTTGCTGATGAGCTTTTTGCGGTCGTCGACTTCATACACATTTGAAAAGGTAAGCAAGATGCCCTCTGCTCTCCTGTTTGATACTAACAACCGCAGGCGGTACAAGAGTGCGAGAAGTACAAGTACGACGACGAGCTGGTGCACCTCTACTCCAAGACGGGCCAGATGAAGCGTGCCCTCTACCTCATTATTGACCGACTCAAAGACGTAAAGAAGGCCATCGACTTTGCCAAGCAGCAGGACGACCCGGACCTGTGGGAGGACCTTTTGGACTATAGCATGGACAAGCCGAGCTTCATCCGCGGTCTTCTCGAGGAAGTCGGCACGGCCATCAACCCCATCAAACTCGTCCGACGCATTCCGGAGGGACTCGAGATTGAGGGTCTTCGCGAAGGCCTGAAGCACATTATGAAGGAGCACGAGATCCAGCACAGCATCAGCTCTGGCGTGGCAAAGGTGCTCCGCAGCGAAGTCGCCGCCGCCCAGAACGAACTACGGCAAGGTCAGCGCAAGGGTATTAAGTTCGAGGTCGTCATTCAATCCACGCAGCATGTCGACGTCCAAGTCCGAGATGTTGTTCCTGCGCCGGTCAGTGCTGAGGACGTCGAAGAGAACTTCCTCCAAACCAAGACAGAGCAACCGGGCCACACGCACGAGGCGCCGAAACCAGGTCACTGCGCGCAATGCCGTGAGTCTTTCACGGAGTACGAGATGGAGACGCTGGTTGGCTTCGCATGCGGCCACGTCTTCCACCTCTCGCACCTTCTCGAGGTGCTCTACCCCGGCAGGAAGCTGGACAACGACTACGGACTCAGCAGCGAGGAATCCATTCGTAGTGGGTACAGGGTGGGAAGCAAGGTCACGCACGCGCGGTTGTTGAAGGATCGTATTAGAGAGGGATGTCCTGTCTGCACGCACCGGAGCGCAGATGTGCCCGCGTAGGCTAAGGAAGTTGTAATTATAGCGAGCTGAAAGCATACGGCGGGATAGCCTGTCCATTTCAAGTCATTGATCCTACCTACCGTACATCGTGCTTGTCCTACCATCATCTGCATCTCCCGTCCTTAGGTGACAAATGTGGGTCGCGCACGGGCCGCAGCGGCAGATCAGCGCCTCGGCCCCCGATTCGCCCCTCCCCCACGCGCCGCGCCGCGCCTGAACGACATGCCATCCCATCCCGCCTCCTCTCCGCTCCGGAGGACGTCGCGGCGAGAACCCCATGCATTCCGCGACGTTCGGCAAGGGAAAACGGTATGGAATCCTGGGGTATCTCCCGGAGCAGGGCTCAAAGGAGGCCGAGCTGTACGTCCCTCCCCCCATCTTCTGTTCCTCAACCCAACTAACAGAGACCACGACCAGATACGCCCTAAACGCAAGCACCTCCCCGCTCCTCCTCCTCCCCCCCGAGATCCGCAACAAAATCTACGCCCTCCTCCTCGCGCACCGGCGCATCCACGTCCTACACGCCCCGCGCGCCCACCCGCCCAAGTTCCACTGCCTCACGCTCCGCGCGTCCGCGAATCCCTGGGCGCATAAGCGGCGGCATGTCCTGTCGCGGGGGATGACGCTGTTGGCGGGGGTGTGTAGACAGCTATACCGCGAGACGGACCTCATACCGTACAGAGAGTGTGTGTGGAGCTGGGGGAGTGTGGCGGTTATGGAGCGGTTTCTGGTTGCGGAGCGGAGGCTGGGGTGGGTGCAGCGACGGGTGTTGAGGGAGGTTTGTGTGAAAGGGCGGGGAGGGGCGTGGAAACGGTGTCGGGGGGTGTTGGGCGGGTTGGAGGTTGTGTGGTTTTGGGAGGGGGAGGGGTGGGGGGTTGAGGTTGTTGAGAGGAGGGGAGCGGAGGGGGAGGGGAGGCCGAATTGAGATGTGACGCCTGAATGAAGATGAAGAATACACGAATACACGATGTATACGAGAATGTTGAACGGTATGATGACAATGGACCGCTTGATATGGTGTTGATCCGGAAAGGACACGCTGAGCTAAAGTTGGTTGATACGGCGGATGTCTAGTCTGGGGCGTGAATGCGCGTCAGATCCAATTTGTGCCGTGGCTTCAGGACACAGAAATTTAGATCATGGTCCCTTGATCTTTAAGCCAATCCATAAACGATCCAGGCACACGATCAAAGCGCTGAGAAAACACATCGCCTCCCATGAAGAGCGTTTCTCCATAGCCAAAGTAATACCGATATTGTTTCCTACTCAAGTGCAATGACGCGGCAAGTTCTCTCCCAGCACACTTACGCGTTCCCACCCAGTCCTCCACAGTATCAACGTCAAGTACAACACCTTTATGTTTCGTATCGCTGCTCAGATCTTCAAGCTGCCTCATGTCAGCACCATTAGACGCCTAGCATCAAGAATCATCGTCACCAAGAAAGTCAGTTGAAAGCCGCCGTAGACGTGGTAGAAGGTTCAGGCAGCAGCCACCGAGCGTAGGCTGATGACTAGGTCAGAACACATAAGTGTACAGCGTATACTCTACGTACGGAAAAGACACATTGGCAACTACAATATGTGCTGTGGCTATCAACTAAGCTTTACCCGCGTCGATAGGTCGCTGATAGTTAGCTATGTATCGTACTCACATATTTTACGACATTCATAATAGTAAACGTCCGTGCAGCTGGAGACTGACGACTAGCAGACGCAAAGTTCAGACTGGTGGTACCTGTCAACTATCACCATATGAAGATGCCAATTATTTGCAATGATCAACGAGCCATGTATTCATCTAGACTCTGAACCCAGTTTTGCCACCATGCAAAACGCCCGACAAAGAAAATATCCAAGATGTCTATTCATACACCACGTAAAAGTCTTCCGATATCCTCCACCACATTACAGCCTTACAGCTTCATACCCAACGCCTTGTGCACACGCATGCTCTGCCTGATGCTGAGATCCAGCATGATCTCCTCAGAACCACCGGGGATGGCGTAGGCACGGACGTCGCGGTACAAGCGCTCGACCTTGCCACCCTGGCCGCCGCGGGAGTACGACAGACCGCCGAAGATCTGGGACGCCTCGCGCGCGCAGAATTCAAAGGTGACGGTGGACTGGGCCTTGAGGGAGGCGATGGCACCGCCGAGCTTGAGCATGGCCTCGGTCTCGCCCATCTTCTCGCACTGGAACACGACGTTCTCGAGCCAGTTGTAGGAGGCCTCGATCTGGCGCGCCATGTGGGCGAGCTTGAGGCGGATGACGGGGTGCTCGATGAGCTTCTTGCCAAAGGTGCGGCGCTTGTTGGCGTACTTGACGGACTCCTCGTAGCAGACACGGGAGAAGCGGAGGCACTGGATGATGATGCCGATACGCTCGTGGTTGAAGTTGGTCATGATGACTACGATTGTTAGTAGGGTTCACTGCTACAAATGGGGGCTGAAGACATACCTCTGAAACCCTGGTTCTTCTTGCCGAGGAGGTTCTCGACGGGGACCTTGACATCCTCAAAGGTGATGTAGGTGGTTCCGGAAGACCAGACACCCTGGCAGTCCATACGTCTCGTCGTGACACCGGGGCCTCTCTCGATGAGCAACAAGCTGACGCCGTTCATGCCGGGGCCGCCAGTGCGGACGGCGGTGGTGAAGTAGTCACACCAGATGCCGTTGGTAATCCACTTCTTCTCGCCATTGACGATGAAGTGCTTGCCATCCTCACTCAGCTTAGCCTCGCAAGTCAGGTTGGCAACGTCAGAACCGGCGTCGGGCTCGGTGATAGCCAAGCAGATGCGCTTGTCACCGTTGAGGATGCCAGGCAGGATGCGGTCGACCAGAGACTTCTGGCCGAACTTGACGAGCGGCGGGCAGCCGATACCGAAACCACCGATGACGTTCCAGACGAAACCACCAGAGGCGGAGCGGGAAAGCTCGTCGGTCAGGAGCATCTCGTGGAAGAGATCCCAGTTGTCGGGGTGTACGGAGGCGACGGTGTTCTTGGTGTACTGGGTAGGGTAGTGGACACCCAGCAGACCAGCCAAGTAACCGCGCTCGCCCATCTGCTTGTAGATCGCGGGGTCGACCTCCTTCTTCTCGTCCCACTCGGTAACGTAGGGCTCGATGTTGTTGGTCATCCACTCGCGGACCTCGGCACGGAGCGCGGCGTGCGTCTCGTTGAAGTAGGGGGAGTGGTGCTTCACGGTGTCAGTCAGAACGAGCCATTCACAATCTCTGCAAGCCGACTTACTGCGTGGTACCAGGCCGGGTCGGCGTAGGGGATCATGTCGCCAAAGGGGTCCAAAGGCTCCGACTCCTCAGTCTTGGCAATGACCTTCTTCTCGGCCTTCTTGGTAGGCATGGGAGCGGCGGCGGCGGCATCGGGCTGAGCGGCCTTGGGCTTGGAGTCGAGGGAGCCGACCTGCAGCTTGGCCTGGTACTTCTTCAGGATGCCCTCGTTGTGGTACTTCCAAAACTGCTTGGAGGCGTCCTTGCCAGCAACGCGCTGGAGGATCTTCTTGCCGCCTGTGGACTGATTAGCTGACGCCGCAGACGAAGTGGGATAAACGGCAGAACGCACCAGGGTGGTCATCCTGAAACTTTGTGAGGTCGTAGACATCGCCGTCGACGATGATGAACAAGTCCTCGGGCTTGTTGTGCGACGCGACGTCGCTGGTTGAGAAGGTCTTGGACATGGTTGCGATGCGAGGGGAGCTGTCGTCGGATGATGGGATTGATGGGTATCTGGACAGGTAGGGAAGAGAGACAAGGTTCCTTTCAAGACAGACGAGGGGGGGACTGTGATGTTTAAAGACAATGGCGTCGAGTCGTGCGTGGCACAGGGGACAAAGTGTTAAAGAACGAGTCGCGACGGCCACGGTCGGCAATGAGGATGGGCTTTGGGGGTGGTCAAGGCGATCACATGCTTGCGGTAAAGCTTCCGCCGTGGACGTCCATCAGTGCCTTAGTAGTAGTAGTGTACTAAGGATGCTGGACCTCAGGACTCAGGAGCGGACACAGCCGCACCCAGTTCCAATGCAGCTCCCTCATGGCATCCGCAGCAGGAGAGGTACCTCCGCACCCGTACGATGCGGGGGAGTACATGGCGCCATGTCGAATACAGGCACAATGTCCGCCATGCAGCGGCACCCCGTGGCCCCCACAATCTTTACGACGCTCTGCAGCATGGAAACGCTGGTCTCGGGGCAGCGAGTGTGGGGAAACCTGCTGAACCATTCCTCGGTCAGTCGCTAATTGCTGTTTCCTCAGTGGCGGACGCGTTCCGCCTGCTTTAGCACCATCACTGGTGAGCATCCGGAGGCTGGGGCCTTTCTTTCGCTGGTGCAGCCAGATAGCCTTCCGCTATCCCCGTGTTGTCGACTGGTTTTGGCGCTAGGCGTGTCATGTGCGCCTGTTTCCTGCACCTGTCTGACCAGTCAGTGCCCCCATTGATTGAATTTCTCGTTGCGTTGGCCGTTCCTTTTGGGGGTTGCGTTGCGTCCGGGGGCGTCGCATGTGATTCTTTTCTCTGTTTCGGGAACGTCGCTTGCTGATGTCATCGACCTACTGTTTCCAAAAGTGGCCCTGGACCTCGGCATCTTTTTTGGGAGCAACCTCTTTGGCCAATGAGCAGCGCGGGGTTGGTCAGGTGGATCCACTTTACCCCCGTACCGCTGTTTTGCTGCTCGTGGCACGGCGACGCGCCCCTGGAACGGTAAGGACGCACACCGATGGTGAGGCATGCACCCCGAGTCAAGCACATGATGCCCAGTCAACCATGGAAGAAAACGACAAACCCCATGGGCAGGGCAGGTATTAGGGTAAAATGCCGACAGATTACCCCGTATAAAGCACGTGGGCGGTCTGGAGTAGTCTAGATAGCCGGAGAGGTTGGATCTTGACCGTCGATTGATGGACTCCGGCCGTTTGAGGTCTCGACCCCCGTAGCCGGCAACCAGCGCTGCCACCCGGCCGACGCCTCGTCCGGTGTCTTCCCAACCTCATGTGTGGCTGTCATGGACGCCATCATCGATTGAATGGCACCCAACTTAGTGCGATTGATATTTGCGCTGGGCCGCCAGAAACGGATTTCCCGAGTTACAGACCACCCTAGTAAGCACTGCGGTCAGGAGCGAGAAACAAATAACACTGGAAAAAGGATCGTGATTAAATTCAAACCTAACCCATTCAACAGCATAGGCTGTCAAACACTCTTGATACATCGTATGCAGGGCTTGAGATCGTGGCGGTGGAAGATACATCCACTGTTTGTCAAGTTTGTTATCTTTCACAGGTCTCAACGCGTTGGATATCATGGAATTCCTGCCGTGAGCCTCTTTGTCCAGCACGCCCAGTCCCTTCCATTTCTACATCTATCATCCCAACACCAGAGAACGTTCTTGGACCTGTAGCCCTGGGTTGCATCATAAGAGGCCTGATCAATCCGGTGCACCACGTCCTCCATGCACGTCATGACGTCCTCCCAAAGCGCCCGACTACGACGCCCGAGGAAGACCACGCCGCCGTCTCTCGCCCAGTGGTAAACAGTACTGCAGTGTTCGCAGCTCACAGAATGCTGCTCCAGACCGTTCTCCCACGAGGCGGGAATGAACGATCCCTCAGCAGTCTGCGCCGAGGCTGCGTTGCAAGTTGGTATGGATTTACCGTTGGGTCCTGGCATCGAAGACGCCCTGGTACTACTGCCGCTGATGCGAAGATCCATCCCCAGGCAGCTGCAAACTCGCGGATCGAAGCACTGCAGGAGGCCGCGGAAGTCAAAGTGCGGACAGAGCATTCCTCGTCCATGTCTCTTGCCAAATTCATTGAGCCGGTCCAGTAGAAATGTGTCGGTGACCGGATCCTTGCCCAAAGTGAAGACGGGAAGGGTCCATTCGAACAAGATAGTACAGCTGATGATTGAGATTGACGGCGGGACGATGCGGCTGTGCTCCCTCGCGGCGGGAACACCAGTATCACATCGCTTCGCACATCTTTCACACTTGACGAATTTCATCTGTATACTGTAATCTTCCAACAGCCTCTTCTGTCGGTGCTCAAATTCTCTCATGGAGTAAGAACGATGCGGGCAAGAGCTGACCCTAAATGAATGATGAAGGAAGCATTTCGAAGAGTAATCGGGAAAATCCAACAGCGGGTAATACCGCCGGCAAGCAAGGCAATACCTATCTTCGCAGCTGCGAACCTCTTTTATACAAACAACGCAATGCCTATCGCCGCATTTCGTACCATCAAGCTCAGAAAGCCGACATGTGTAGTCATCGTTCCACCGCCACCAGGCATTCTTGGAATTCTTTGTCTTCGCCACGTAGCAGTCTTCGCACCAGTTCATACGGGCTACCCGCGGTATCAGCCTACAAAACCAGCCGTAGAGACCTCCCGGAGTTCGGTAATTGAGGTTGAAGCAGATCAAGTGTCGCCCCCGAATCTTCTTGATGATGTGGGCGGCCTTGAACGCGCTGTCCTGGAACAGACGGAAAAACGTGAAGCAGGTCTGGCGTAGCATGTACAAGTCGTGCGGCGGCGTCTTGCGCATAATGTTGACGAGAAGCTCCTCTGGAAGTTGCAGCAAACGGCATTCCCGCATGTTGCGTATGTGGTTGTTGTTCCACGTCGATAGACAGGGATAGCTTGGTTGAATCTCTGGGCCCTCAGTCTCTGGACGCTTGCGAAGACTGATTTCCTCCACGGGAGCTTCCATGTCTACTTGTCGGGCCTCTTTCTGGTTGACGTGGGGTCGTTGTTTTGTTTTCAGAGCTTTCTTTCCCTTATTCAGTCTGGCGGCCTTCTGGCGCAAGATATGCAGCTTCATTATGAAAAGATGTTTAGAGGAAACTTGAGTAGACAGGTGATGGCGCAACGCAGCGGTAGCAATAGTCGCCTCGAGCTGGTGGGCGTTGTCTGCCTTCAAAGTTGTATCCTCCTAGAAAGCTCAAAGCTATGTGTCTTCATTGTCGGACATCTCCGAAGGGTAAGGTACTATCAATGTCTCTAAGTACGTCTATGTGTCCTAGTGGAGCCTTTGGGGTCAGGGATGTCACTCAAGTCCTTGACACATCAGAAAGGCAGATCGTGCGTGTTGGGCAACCTCGCAAAGATTAAACAATACTCCACCATCAACAACTGCGTTTAGAAGTCGCAGGGAGCTGTCCCAATTTGCTTCCCATCTCATTGGGCGTCTAATTGAACAAATCATTGCGAAAGTTAGAAAAACAGGAGCCTAAAGGCTACGTGACCTGATTTACTGTGGGCCTTCTCGTGCTGAGACGCAAAAGGTTGCTGAAAGAAACCCAAGGCATGACTTCTAGGGCCCGAGAACCCTTAGTATGCGCAATCTCAAAAGGTATGATCAGATTTCAAACCGTTCTGCGAAGAAACCTTTTTACACCTTCAAATTCTTTCTCCGAGAACACCCACACTGAATGGGCTAGAGATCGCCTCAACCAGACCGTTTCTTGACATCTATTCGACGCCTTGAGCCAACTATCAGACCTCCAACTACCCCCTCCGTTTCGGAACAGCTTATGATAGTACCGGCAATATGTTTGATTACCCGATGGAACCCCTATCGATAAATCTCTTTCTGATCTTCCTTGGCCTGGAGGTTGTATTTCAGTTCCTTGAAAGGCGTTATCCTTCCAAATGGGATCCATCTCTGGAAGAAGACACGGCACAAGAGCAACACGCCCAAGAAAGACCTGCATACGTTTCCCCGCGAATCACATCAAATGAAAGTCGAAACAATGATACGTTGCAGTTTGCAAAACGGAATAACACAGGGGCCAGCTCTCCTGCGGAATTAGCCTTGAGAAAGCTGTGTGCACCAGGAGAGGCCAGAAGAGAAGCGCGCGCAGATGCGAAGGAGGCCTTGAGAGCGCTGTGTGAGGCGCGCGCACATATAGAGAAGGCCTTGAGAGAGCTGCGTGCGCCAGAAGAGGCCAGAGGAGAATCGCACGCAAATGTAAAGGAGGCCTTGAGAGAGATATGTGCGTAGGCAGAGGCTAGAAGGGAAGCGTTCGCGTGAGAGGGGCTTAATATGTCTTTGCCAGGGATCTCCACGCGCGTGGCGAGTCGCCTTTTGACAAAAAATGTTACCTTACAGTCCAGTAAACGAAATAACACGGGAGATAGCTCTCATGGAGAATTATATGTCGATAAGAGGAATACGAAAGCAATGTGCGGCTCTTTTAAGAACACAGATTCGGCGGATATCACCCCTGTTTAACAATCGCTGCCTATGAAGCCTTTGGTCATGGAACCCTAGACTTGACGCCACTCTCTATCCAAGATGCCAGTCCTCCCTATTGAGAAATCCAACCGCAATCAAGAGAGGAGGCTTCGCCCGCGTTTTCGACGAAAACAACGCCGGAGACTTAATCCATTGTGAGGTTTTCAATATTCAAGTACCCAAGGTAGCTCTAGCAAGCCCACAAACAGCAATATGAGATCCATGCACCTTTTGCGTGTGAAGACTCAAGAGGTATGCTACAAGCTTCAGATCCTTCCGGAGAAATGTGTTTCAATCATTCAAAAAGTCTTTCAACTTCCCATTTAATGAATTTTGTCGACGATCAAAGCTGCAATTACTCAACCAGTCACTTTGGAACATCCCTGCAAGCGATACCGCCGTCACCCAGACGACATGGAGAATTACCTCATCACAAATCCGCCGGTATGGCTCTTTCTGGCTGCGCTTGGGCTCTGCTTTCTCAACGTTGCGTGTATGGCTTTCTACGAGTTTTGCCTTTGCAGATGGTTTCCATCTGTGAGAAAAAGCAAGGCCCAACAGCAACACGCCCAACCAAGCTCTGCCGGCCGGCCCCTGCTATCTTCCTCAAATGGGGTTTCGGAAAGCGGTACAACAAAGCTCACAAAGTGGGCGAAAGCGAAATGCACCTCTACAGACACGAACTTGAAGGTTGGTTCTAGCTCTCTGAAGCTGGCAACTCAGTCAGAGAACACCCCGGTTCAGTCCTCGCTGCATATAAAGCCCATGGCCCTGGTTCCCGAGACTCGGGAAGCTACTCTCTTCACAATGCAGGTTCCTCCTATCGAGAAGCCTATCGTAGGCAAGGGGATGCTTTCTGCACCCAAGCTTTCGAGCTGGGAAGCTGCATTCGATGGAAATCGTCGGAGGTCTCGAATCTTGCAGCTGCCTGACGAGATTCTATTTGAAATCATGCAAATGGTAGAGCTCGACGATTTGTACATGCTTCGCCAGGTGTCTTGCACATTCTTGCGCATTTACCATGACCAGACTTTCCAGAGGCTTCATCGGAAAGGCCCATCCAGAATCTTCTGGCAATGGCAATGGCAAGGTCACCGAGAAGGATTTGAACTTGACCCGAAGACAGTAACGAGAGCGAGGCGAAACGTATTCTGCGATCCTTGTTTCAAAGTTAAGGAATCTGAGGAGTATCGGAGTCGGTTGAAAGAAGTGCAAGATCACATTCACTGTTCATTCTGCAACACTTCGCACAGGATCTTTGAGTTTTCCGCGGCGCAGCGTTCTAACTCCAAAGAGATGCGACAATGTATTTTGGCCGAGGGATTCATTTGGCTCTGTCCGCACCGCAAAGTGTCGTTCAGATCTGTCAGGAAACTCGCTTTTGCTCGCGATTGGACGTCGAGACTGGCTCCAAATGATAATTACACCATAGAGTGGTGTCACGAATGTCATCTTCAAAGTGCCAGTAATGGCTGGGATGGTCGCCGAAAAGAGCTGGAGCCTCCACATGTAATTCTTTCTGGGCTCAAAACACCTTCAGCATCGGTCAATATTTCCATTAACTGGAAAGTACCTCTGTTCAAAATTACGCCAAACGTTGATGTAACGATGGCAGATGTTCAGAACGCCCTCAAAGATGCGGAGGTCAGATACGGGTTCAAACTGTGTCCTCACTTCAGCTACTGTAACGGAGAACTGCTTCGGATGCTTGATGCTCGGATTTGCGTTTGTTTTGGGAACGATAAGCGTTTGGGAACTCAACCAATGCCGAGCCCTTTGCCGGAGGCAGTTCCGCACACGACTTGCCGCCATGACGCCGACGTAGCACAGAGGTTAAATTGCAACCAGTCAGAACCTCATGGCTTCATGTCTGGAACTCACTCGACTCGTTGCGATTTCTGCTCGACCACATATGGATTTAAAAGACACGGGAGTTGTGTCTTCTTATTTCGGCACACTAATGTGGAAATGACCGCAGAGAGGAGCAAGTACTACTCGGGTTATGGTCTTGAACGTGTGCTTGAGCCAAGCTCATATGTGACCCGGGCAGCAGCAGTGGATGACGAGACCAAGTATCTTATGTGGTGCGATGATGAAACTTGCAGGAACGGCAGAAACTGGAACACGTACGCCACCTGCCTTAACGCGTATTAGAATCATCAAAATACGACAAAAAGAATAATGGAAATTGGTGGCACTAGATCTGCATGCGGATGCTCAAGAAAGATTCTGCCGAGATTAATGAATCAGACGAAAGCCATAATGATAAGTGAACCTAAGCAATGAAAATAGATTACGAAGAAGACACGTATCAGTTAGATGTTCTATCCGTAAAATGTCCTATCCGTGAAATCTGGCTCGGAGGCGTCGACCGTCTAGCTGTCGATATCATATGCCGTCAGCTGGTTATTTCACAATGATCTGTGACTTGCAATTGCGTGGGTATGCGAGAATATACCCTTTACTTTGTTGCGCTCGATTAAATTCAGCTGCCGGGTTGCCTCAGCCAGAAGCGTCTTCCAAAGCACTTCCCAACACGCGGAAAGTTGGCATCGTGGGGAATTATATGCTCCATTGGATTTAAACGTGCCTTAAACTGCACATCGGCCGCATTGGCGTCGCGAAAGTTTAAACGGAAACGAACACTTGTTGTGGCTTGCTACTCCATTCAGAGTCGCTGTTGCGGATAAGAGAGCGAACTCATCTCACGGGAAACGGTAAGATTTAGAGCTTTGCTGTCCGGGGGGATGACCACTTACTCTGGGCCTAACAGTCTACTTTATTTAAATAATTCTACCATTATTGTCGTCCCTGTCGTCCATATCGTCCCTGTCGTCCATATCGTCTCTGTCGTCCCTGTCGTCCCGGCCGCCCCTTTCCCGATCCCCTTTCCCTATTCCAGTCGTCGTTGTCGTCGTTGTCGTCGTTCATGTCGTCGTCTATGCCCACTACCCGCCCAGATAGCAAAACTCAAGAGCTATGGAAAACTGCTCGCATTGATATATATATCTACTCGCTTCTTCTCTTAATTTCAAGCTTGACCCGGACAGCATTTCCTATTATAAGATCGTGCCAGAGATTAAGAAGCAACACTGCTGCCATCACTCCTAAGAGCACATCAACTTCAGACACATAATGCGATAGACTTTCATTTTTGTTTTGCATGGCTCTCAGAGGAATCTTGCCAGCTGCACAGCCGCCAGCGTCAAGACAGAAAAGGCCCGGCTGGTGCGATTGCAATGAATTCTACCTAGCCTGCTCGCTTTGGCAAGTGGAGAATGGAGGCTCGAGACGACAGAAAAGGTATAACAAAGGTACTAAAATAGACATCATACTACGACAAAAAGAAGTTCTTTCTCATCCATTCGATTTGCAAATAGGAATTGCATGTTGGAAATAACAAGTCATTATGTTCTCAATCAAGAGAAAGGATGGTCATTACATCGACGGGATGTTCTGAACGAGTCAATACCGTCTAGTCCCCACCTCATCCGATGGTTCTCCAATCATTCACCCAAAAACTTATCAAATCAGACGTGGCATAACCCTCTTCATCCCTGTCAGTAGTGAGCTCTAGTCAACTTTTGTCAATGAAGGAGCGCTGGTCTCGGCTTTTCGGACTGATAAAACGTCGCGCTCCGCTTATCCAGCTCCATCATGGATACAACCGAAGTTGCAGGGTGGCCGCACCATCTGCCGGGGCGCCCCGCTGCGGAATTTCTGCAGCGTGCATGATTTCCATGGGTTTAGGCGCTCCCAGTCGTCTCATTTTTCTTCTTTCCCTCCGATCTTCATCCCTACTCCACGAGGCGTACCGGATTCTCGGGTCAAGTCGTTGCCTTCCAACAGCAAAGACCCCAAGAACCAACAGTCTGCCAACAAAAACCCATCAAACACTGACTCGCGACAACCCTGAAATGGCCGAACCAACACCAACTCCCGCCGCTTCGTCCCCAGTCACTGAAACGGCTGCACCCGTCTCACCGCGGCCCGCCCCGGAAGTGGAGGTTGAGGTCGATCAGGAGGAGCTCGACTCCTCTTACGGGGACGATGAAGCCTCGCGCGCCAGCACCTCGCTCAAGTCCATCACATCGAGATATGAGTGGAAGCACGGTCGCAGATACCACGGCTACCAGTCGGGTACTTACAACTTCCCGAACGATGAGCAAGAGCAAGACCGTCTGGACATGATCCACCATGTCTTCTACCGACTGATGCACGATCGCCTTTACCTCGCACCCATCAACACCGAAGGCCTCAAAGTCCTTGACATCGGCACGGGGACTGGCATCTGGCCCATTCAATTCGGCGACGAGCACCCCGAAGCTGAGGTCATCGTCGGTAATGACCTAAGCCCCATCCAGCCGGACTGGGTCCCGCCCAACGTGAAATTCATCATCGACGACGTCGAACTCGATTGGATGGAGCCGGAGAAGTATGACTACATTCACTGCCGCTACATGGCCGGATCTATCAAAGACTGGCCTCGACTGCTGAACCAGATCTACGAGAACCTGAAGCCCGGAGGATGGGTGGAGCTTCAAGAGTCGGCCAACACTCTCTACTCGGAAGACGGCTCGCTGAAGCCGGACAACGCCATGATTCAGATGATGGACGGCCTCATGGAAGCTTGCGAAAAAATTGGACGGACCATGGATCCTGCTCCCTCCTTCAAGCAGTGGACCGAGCAAGCTGGGTTTGAAAATATCAGTGAGAAGAAGTTCAAGTTGCCGATTGGCAGCTGGCCTAGGGATGAGCGGTTGAAGGAAATCGGGACCTTGATGGGGCACAACTTTCTCGAGGGGGTAGAGGCCTTCACCGCAGCTCTTTTCAAAGATGTCCTGGGTTGGTCGCAAGAGGAAGTCATTGTTCTCAACGCAGGAGTCCGAGCGGCGGTCCATAAGAAAGATGCGCACCCTATTTTCGACTTCATTGTTGTAACTGGACAGAAACCAAAGTCGGGCTGACTGAGGTACGAATAGTAGAGATATATAATGTTGTTCAAATGCAATTGTCTCACCCGCCTGCCCACGTTGAAACTGATGCATGAGGTTCCATTCATCTTAAGACGAATAAGAGTCCCTCCTTTCAAAATCCCACTACTACCAAGTTAATTACTCACTTCACCCATTGGATTCTTTGAACAGTAATAGATACGCCATGACAGTGTCACAACAGTTTCAACCTCATTTTATAGTCATTTCATCCTCATTGTAAAGAAAAATCAGAAAGTAGTTTCTAGACCTTTAAGCAGACAACACCTCAGGAACCCTTCCCAAGCTTAAACATAGAACAGTGTAGATTTAGCTATCTTTTCAATCATCGTCATACGCGTTGTCCTTCTTCCACCAAATCGTGATATCAATGTCACTATCCTCATTGCTTTCGTATTCTTCCCTCCACAGGTCCAGTTGTTTGGCAGAGACTCTTGCCCAGAGTGAGCGTCTGGGACGGAAGAGCAGATCATGAGGTTGCTCAAATTGGAAAACAGTGTCGTGGCACTGTACTGTGATTCTGTAACCACTGAAGCTGTCAAAGTCATCAGCTGTGTAGTCCTCGTCCACCTCGACTACCAGGAAAATGCTTCCGCCGTCATTCAGAATCGCGTAGGCCCCAAGTCCTCCAGCTCCTGCAGTGGTTCTGACTTGAGTTTGGGTGGTGTCGGACGGCGGGATGGCCAGTTGCATATACCCCGTTTGGGGCAGTGGCGGTTCGTCCGCACGTGCCCGAAGAATCTGGGTGGCCGATGCGTCTTCGGAAATCGGGAGGGGATTTGCGAAGACTAAATTCAAGAAAAGAACTATAGCGGCGATTGCCACAAAGTTGAAAGATGTCATAACGAGCGAGGTTTTGATTAGATCGATCAGCAACTCAGGACGACCAGGACGTTCGAGAAATTTTCAACTGTCGTTGTGACGAATACTTTTCAGATTTATCAATTCAATAGAGAACGTATTTAACCTGAGTAGCTAGATACACGTGCTGATAGCTAGCTAGCAACATTTCCATGACTGCATCCGCTGATTCCGGTCGGATCTCAGAGAGCAATTAACATAGTGGGTAGCACGGAGATAAGCGAAACCATATTTTGCTGTTAATACGTTGTATAAATAGCACCGGAAGTGCTGGCATAACGACTTTAATTAATTAAGCTTATGTAACACACACCTCTGGTCCTTGACAAGCCAAAACCTTCGTACCGAGTCAACTGCTCACGCTCGCTCACCGCTGGAGTGGCGCAGCTGCAACTGGACAAGGCAGTGATATGACTACAGAAATGTAAGGGAAAGCTCATCGCGGTTCCCTTCATAAGTCTTCCTTCGGCGGGGTCGCATGGTGAACATCCTCAACCTGGCTGGAGGACGCATATGCATCCACATGAGTCTTGGAGAACTCTCTGGCCGGGACGCCACGTGCAAAGAGAATGTCCAGCTCCTCATATGTCCGTCCCTTAGCCTCAGGTAGACGGAAGAAGGACCAAACGAAGATAGTGCAAGCGGTGGCGGCCCAGAAGAACCCAGCCTTCCCGCGCAAGTTCCACTCTGTGGGGTTCCTTCGCGCAAAATGTCAGTGTTCCACGATGGATGTCTTCAAAATCAACTTGTGCATGCTCACATCATGTAAGTCTGTAAGACCTGCGAAACGATATTTACTAGTTGATACGCGTTTCGAGACAGAACGACAGTCAACGGCCGAAGGCGGACTGAGGAAGTCTCGCTGATTACGCTGTACTGCAGACGAGGTGAGTAGTGAAGACTTTGTAGGCACACTCCGGATTTCTTACAGTGATCGGACCAATGGTAAGGGACTGATGCATTGTTAGTCGGCGTTGACGATCATTCCAATACAGGATGGATAGCTTACGTAGATGAAGAGCCAGAAAACACACAAGCCACCAGACGGCCATAAGCCTTTCTTGCCAGCAGAAACGTCGAGAATACCGATGATGAACAGTATCACCGTCAGAATACCCATGCCGGTAACATATATCTGGCGACGGCCCCAATGAGTGATGAGCCACCAGGAACTATGCATGCATTGTGAGTAATCTTCTACCAATGTTGTCACCCCTTGAGATTTGGAACTCACAGGCAGGTACCGATAAAAGCCATTCCCTTCGCACCAAGACTCAATTCAAAAGCATTGGCCGTGTTCATGCCGGCGGTCGTGAAGAAATACGTCGGGGTGTATGCAAAGCTGCTGCCAGACATGACTTGTCCAGCGAAGGCGATGCAGCAGATTTCCGTACGTCGGAGGTCGACACCCTTGAAGCAGTCCTTGTATGAGACGCCACTCGTGACACCAGCTTCAACCTTGGTAGTATGGACCATCATGGCCAATTGAGCATTGATTTGGTCTTGAGTCTTGTCGCCGCTGAGTCTTTCGATTGATCGACGAGCTTCATCGAGTCGGTCTTTACGGACGAGAAACCAGGGGCTTTCGGGGGCGAGGTATGAGATGACCATCAAAGGAATTGGCCACAACTAGTTGTAATCCGTAGTCAGCTACATTATCTCGCTGGATTCTGGTTGGATAATCTTACCCATTGGATTGCAAAGGGGATCCTGTACGCCATCTCACCCTCAATACTGAGACAGCCACGAAGTACGCCGGCGGCAATAAGCTGGCCCGTCGCCCAACAAAGATTGACCTAGAAAGTGTCAGCGAATGTTCGAAGTTTGAGTCGCTAGGTATTAACTCACGTAGGTAGTCATGTATCCTCTAAGGTTCGTCGGACAGACCTCAGAAGCTGAGAAATCCCTAATGAGCAGTGGATCAAGAAGACTGGAGTCTGAAGATGGAGGCCTACCGTATGCTGGACTGAGTGTGGCAAACACGCCCCACGAAAAGCCGCAAAGAATCTGTCCGACGAGGAGCATGGCGGCAGAATGAGCGAAGAAGACAACAAAGATGAAGCAGTTGAGGAATCCCATTGCGACGATCATGACCCAGCGGTAGCCATACTTGGATGCGAAAAAGCCGTTCATGAGACCGCCTGCATGTGTCAGTACTGTGACTTGGAATCACATCAAAGCAGTAACAGCTCACCGAAGATGGCACCGGTTGTGGCAGCCATGGTCAAACCAGTTTGCCACGGCCCAGAGACCTGGTAGCCGATCGCATCGCCATACCAGCTGCCATATTTCTTCTGAAATTCGGGGTATGCAAAGAAATTGTTGATCAGAATGACATCGTATCTATTTGAAACGAGTCAGAAGCCAGACGATTAACAAGACGTGATTCGGTCTCACCCTTCCATGACGATAGACATAGAAATCATGACGGACCAAAACACTGCCTTTCGGTTCTGGGACAGGGCTTGCATCAAAGTCTGTGCGTGCTCATCATCAGAGGCTTGCTTCGCCTCAAAGATGGCCGACTGGCCCAACTTCTCCTCGACCTCATTCTCGGCTGCTTTGCGAAGGTGTTGAACCTCGTGATCACCCTTGGTAGCCATAATGATTGACACAATCTTGAGTCAAAGAAGACGGTCTCGACGAATCCAACGCCCACATACAAGAGCTGGGGCTGTCATGGCTTTATAAAAGCCCGAACCATCTCACTTTGGGTTGTAGTCGTACTGCAATCGGCCGACATGTCACTACTACCGAACCATGCATGTCCCTGTAAGAGCCGAGAACTCGGCACACACTCAGCGCATTCTGGCTAAATCTCACACGCTCTCCAGACCCATTCAAGAAGGATCCGAACATTTAGACTTCCCATCTCCACATGAACTTGGCCGGCCCCCACACGTGAATGAAGCAAAGTCTGGGGTATGGGGAGAGCTTCACGGCTCTTGATTGGTCTATGCTCGGGAGCGACCGGGCAACTCCCGGCTCCGGGCACGGTGTTTCGACATCGATGGGCGCGATGGATGATTCGACAAGATCGAGCGGCCCAATCAGCCAAAAAGAATAAGCTCGATATGGGTCCTCTCGAGATGTCACTGTGGGCACATGTTCATCTTCAGGTTTGTTTGAAGGGCAGTAGTCTGCCAAGAACATTGGGTTGTTGCGGGGAAGCGGCATTGGTGACATTTGGTTGGTCAAGAGATTGCATAGATTGGAGATTGCGGAGAAGCTCCGCTAGTTAGAACGGGGTCAACTGACGAACGCGTGAGCCTGTTGGTTAACTTGGGGAACTCGGGGTACTCCCTTGAGCGACTTCAAGGCTGTGATAGGTCCTTTTGCGGAAAAAGGAGTTTGCCAAGGTAACGTGCCCGGAAAAGGTCGACAAACCGGCATGTTGGAGTTGAGAGTACGGACGTATCCGTTGCGGGGTTTGTTAAACCCGAGGGCTGCCACCGGCTGTTGGGCTCGAGAGGTGGTGCTTCGTGAAACCCCTCCGCGATGCCCGCCTGGCCCTTCCTGGGCTTACTAACATGGCCATGTTCACACATAGAGCTCTGGTTCCTGATGCTATTGACCATCATATAAAATTGCCTGGTGATCGTCAACCTGTGCATGCGACATGCTTCATGGATGTTCAACGATGTGGAGAACCTGGTCCCTCTGCCAAAGTTTCTACGATCGAAGACAAATTCGATCTATGACCATTCACCTGGAATATTGTTACAAGGCTTACAAAGATTCCAGGAGGCAAATCGAAAGGAGGACAGAAAAGCCGCAAGACCTGCGAAACTCGGGCCACGTCCCACAACTGCTACTTCGAACTAATGCACCCCGACTTCCGTGAGCAGAAGCGACCGGCATGCATTTCAGACACACTTGAACATCATCACGTGGGTAGAAACAGCCATTAATTCAACCTCTGAAGTTTCACAAACGCCTGTGTAAATCCCTTAAACCCATGAAAGCAAGCCACCCTTACATCTGACCCTCAGATCTAGCCCTTTGGTGAAAATATTCGGCCGGAAGTGTACTCTCAAATCTGTCCAGCAGATCCTGATGTCCGTGAAATAGAATTGTGACTTTGGCATGGATCTCCGCAATGTTCCTGTCGGCTTCTTCCTGAGTCTGCGGAGCGGCTTGGTTGAATTTACTAAGCGCTTGGATGAACGTCGGGTAAACATCCGGCTGCGTTGACTCGAACCGCTTCTATCACCCGTGTTAGACAATGATATCGTGAGAAGTTGGATGCAACCAACTTTCACATCTTCTAAGAACTTCAGACTCTCTTGGAATTTGGGCTGTCTCAGCAGAGAGTCGCCGTCCATGCCATCAAAATCTACATCCTGGTCTGGCTCGCGGATCGTGGGAGGCTCGGAGGACATTTTCAAGCTTCTTAAGTTCTTCAATAGCCAGATATCTCGAGAGCAGATGGACGGGTATAGGGCCACTTCAGTGTTCGCCGAGGCTCGAGATCCAGGCAGGGTACGGGGACAAATGAAGACCGAGATGAAAATCAGCACACGCAAAAGATGGGGTTCGGACACGAGATAATCGTGAGTCTGTCTTTAAGCGATGCCCTCAACCCCGCTCATGGCTCGACGTTTCCGCCCGCGGCAAATGGACAGATGGAACCGGCAAGCAAAATAACCAACTGTTGTGGATTAAAGGAATGCCTCTGGTTGGTCCACCATTTCGAAGGATTCACTTACATAAAATGATGTAATAACCACAACATCTGCAGCCAGCGCGCAAGTTGGCGGCGCAGCAACTTTGAACACATGACCAAGTTCAAAAACAGTCAAAATGGCCGTTGTAGTATTGTCTGACTGATGTTTCCATTTGCATCCCCTGGAGGACCAAAGTTTCTGAAACATTGACCAACACCTCAAACGAGAATAAACAGCTCTTCTTTACCGAACCTTTCCCTGATGCTTTCATTATCCGACTCTGGCATCAGAGGCCCCACGAAGGTATCACCAAGCAGGATCCAACCATCGTCAGTCTGTCTGAGAACGAATGGAATGGGTCCACCATAAAGGAGAACGACAACATCGCCTGGTTTTGCACAGGCTGGTGCTAGTCCGTAGAAGCCACTGGCCGTTTCAAAAATGCGTCTTTGGTCGCAAGATCTCGACGCTGCGATTCGGAAGTGATTCGCATCGCCCTCACAGAGTGCCACCTCCAAAGGGTCGTAAGTATCTGGAGTCTTTCCTGCAACACTGAAGAGTTTCTTGATGTAAGTAAGATAGTCCGCGTAAAACCGATGTCGGTCATCTGGCTCCAGATCAAACACAAACTCGTAGCCTTCCGTGAAGTTGGTGGTGAGTGTCAGTCCCATCTCAAGGACTGCCCCAAATGGGGCATCTTCTGAACCGAATAGTGGGTAAGACTTTGTCGATGACACTCGGTGCCAGATCTCGAGGAAAGGGTGCGTCTTAGCTTCGGCGGGGGATATGTCCTCTTTGAAATGACTGATGTCAAAGACCTCGGTGGTCCAGGCGATGGTATCGAAGCGCACACCAGAAAGGCCGACCTTGCCATCTGATGAAGGCTGAAAGTCAACAAGACCTGGGAGGCCGTGTTTATCTCCCTCTTCCCACGCCGTTACCGACATGCTGTGAAGAATGTTGCCGACGTCCTCGCTGACATCCCACCGGGGTACCCAGGACGGAAATTCTGTGCGCTCGTACTCAACACCATGCTTCGCATAGCACAGAGGGGCAAGACTTTCGCTGCTTGCTACTGAGGCCTTCACCACATCGATGTATACCTCTGCAACAGTCTTTCTGTAGTCAACACCAGCGAATCCCTCGAGAGTTGCCTCATTGATAAGTCCCAGTAAGCCATAGACCTTGTCTCTGGGGTTTGTAGCGTTGAAGTCGCGAAAGCTCAAGAGAATCTCAAGGAAGCTCAACTCTGAAAGCTCGCTTTTATCAAACATGCTGTATGCATTTTCCCAGGCGATTCCGTCGAGTTCAGATGGTACATCGTAGTCGTTTGCAAGATTCTGCTCGCTAAGCCAGGCGGCCGTGACGCCCAGCCTATCCCACTCGAACGAGTGAGAGCCGACATAAAGCCTAGATGAACGCGCCAGCACAATCTCCTGGACGCACCACACCCTTGTGAACCAGGGCCTTGATAGGAGCCACTTGAGGGCATTCCAACTCTTCGAGTCGGGCTTCGGCAGGCTCAAACGTTGGGCGGTCGAGGCGATGTCGGAGATGGAGACACCAGCGAAACCTTCCATCTTCTCCGTAGCAATCGTGAAGTGAGCCATGCTCAGTAGCTCAACCCCACGAGCCAGGGCTTGATCCTCGCATGCATGGTATATCGCTTCCATCAGCGACATAGCACGCGCAGTCTCGTTGTCTTCATCAAGACCGAGCCATACAACAACAAGAGACGCCCGTGAATAAACGTCGCGCATCAGCTGGACTTGCTCTGCCCGTTCCTCCATATCATCCTGGTTGATGCAAAGGGCGTCGGCCCAGATGAGTACCTCCTCGGTGGGAAGTCGAAAGTGACGAAGGGCGTCGAATAGACTCTTTGTGACGGAAACTTGTTGGCCTTGACATCGAATGTCTTCGCGCTGCGACGGGTCGCCCCAGACATACGACAAGGCACGAAATGAAGGTGGATCATCAATGCTTGCCTCTCGCAGGTTCGTAGCGATGGGGCCGGGACCAGCTCCAGGTTGGAGGACGAGGACTCTGATATATCGACTCGGCAAACGTCTTGAGTAAATCGATGCCATTTTGTCATGGGCAACGGTTGCTCTGTACCTGACAACGAGTTGCGTGTTTGGGCTGAAGATGACAGCATGAGGAATCGAACACTCTTTCAGAGCAAGAAAGCTGAGTCAGAAATACGAAGGATTTCGTGGAAGGATCCTTTGGGCGGGGGCGCTATATATTTTTGGGTTTAATTCGTCGCCACGTAGCGTGATTAGATTGATGGGTCTTGGCATGCTGCTGCAATGCAGCAGGCCTTGATCTCGTAACTCGTGATCAAAGCTAACATCACCAGCCATCTTGTCTCATCTCAACCGTCTAAACAAGCGAGAAGTTCTCAGAATATCTCCATCCCACACTTTCTATCTTCACTACTTCGTACTTCTCTACCACAAGCACTTTGCGCGACTAGAGACCATGACCACCGCTCCCACAACGTTCCACCTATTTCCAAACCTCTCCGCCAAGCTTCACGCTCCCACCAGGAAGCTGACAATCGAGCCCCGCATCGTTTAGGTCCGCGAGTGCAGTCATGAACTAGGCCCCATCAACATTAAGGGACCTGGGCGAGGAGCGCAGACAGTGGACTGAATGGTCAAACGTCTGCGGGTGATGCGCCACTTGCGCTGGTCTACCCAAGTGAGAGTTCCTGCCCAGCTGCAAACCTGCCATGAGGCCCGCGAGCACCTGACTACACACGCTAATGAAAAATATCGCTTTGAGAAGACCCTTTCAGGGATCGCTACGAAATCCTGGGGCGGGTTCGACCCTCTGCTCGAGGGTGACCCTGAGCGAGAGCGTTATGTCTGGTTCAACTTCGACAGTGATATGCTCTCGATTGGGGACGCAGATTTACACGAGTTCCTGACTATGGATAACTAGATCCTCCAGCTACGGCTTAGGCGCAACCTCGACGACGAACACCTTTCTCGCACCGAGTCACTCTTAATTTGCAGACGATTCAGGAATGTTGTCGAGGTTCATCTGATCCGTTTATGGGGCATTACGTCAGGCTACTTAATGACGGAAGATACATACTTTCACTGTAAACCCGAGAAAGTGTACTTCACTCATACTGAAGCGACAGGATGGATGGTGATCAACAGCGTGGACCTGGACGCTATAGTGACCAGGGAGCGCACAGAGCTTGACAGGCTAGCAGAAGAGGATTGAGCGTCATTTCAATCGAACGTTACCTCATATATTATTCCAGATTGACCTCGTGCCAGAAGGCATGATAGCTTTGTATCCACTAATGACAGCGAATATGAACATGCGAATATTTATTTCCATCTGCAGATTTTGTGCTCATTCATGACAGATATACCCAATCTCATCCTCGGATTAGCAGTTTACTGTTTCTGAAGCTCACAAGGGCGGCAAGTCAATCGTGCCTACACGATTTGAACTCCCTATGATCTTGGCCGAGATGACCCGTCACATTTAGCTTCATAGAAACATTGCAATGCAATTAAAGCTTCCAGACCGAAAAGACACCGAAGCCCATTCCCGAAAATCGGCAAGCTGAGAGCTCTGGTAGGGGGTTCGGTGTTGCGGCCTGGGGTTCTGAAGGTCCAAGAGCCATAACATTCTGATGGCCCTGGATGATTCTAGCTCTAAGATTCATTTTGAAAGGAAAGATCATCAGCATGACTGCATGAAATCCGCAGAAAGATTTAAACTGGCTTGAGCGAGCAATTTCCCTAGTGAAGAACTTAAGCAGGACCAAAGACGCCAGCTGTTGGCTGTTTGACCGCCCAGCATCTTCCAGCGAGCCTGCGACAAAGAGCAAGTTCTCAAATTTTTCAATTGCTTTGGTTGTCTATGTCAAATATTAGTCAAAGGCCTTGAGTGCCAAATCTCTTTCGAACATTGAAATCCAAAATTCCATGTAAGTTTCCTTCTGGGGTGCCTACCTTAGGTACCCACGAGGGTACCTCCCAAAGGGTGACGTGCCCCACTTAGGTAGCCAAAAAGGGCAGGGTGGGACAAAGGCTTGCAACCGTTGGTGCTGAACAGCCAATGATGAGCTGCAAAGGTGCAGAGGTGGTGCTTATCTAATCAAGACCCTGGCCACCTACCTACCCACCGTCCCATCCCGACGGTGCTGCGATATATCTCCAGGTCTCCCGAAACCTTCGACACTGGTGACTCTCTTCCTTCTTGTCAGCGACCACTCTCATAGGGCCCAGCAGTGACAGGTAAGAAATGTTATTTCTCCGTCCAATTTTCTTCTGACTGCTTTTCGTCCCTCCCATACTGACTGGCTAATATCTGCGCAGGTCTTCCTCTCCTCCGCTTCGAGTTTGTCGAGCGTCTCCGTTTGTCGACCTCGCAATTTCGGCCACAAAAACCAAAATTTCCCACACATCGACTCTGAACGGTGAGAATTTTCCGACTGAAAAACCCACTTTCACCCTTCTTTATTATTGGAAAAGGACTTGATCCTCCTCCTACCACTAACGTCGTCTCATACGTGTTTCCCCTGGTGACGTCGTCTTATTGCTGACAATCGTTTGCAGCGTCACGAGTCTCTGTCTTCGTTGCGGTTCTCTGTCTTCGTCGCAGGTCTCTCTCGTCGTCGTCGCGGGTCTCTGTAGTCGTCCCTATCTTTCAACTCTCTCGTTAGCGTTGTCGTCGTCCATCCGCAAGCACCATGGAATCAGCGATGGACACCAGCGTCATGGACACCGACGTCGAGGACGCCGAGCGGCCAAATGATGTCAAGCGCCGCAACGACATTGCCCACCGCTTCTTCAAGCTTTTCGAAAACGACAATGGCCAGAATGATGCGAAGCTGGAGCTTATTCACTCCATTCTAAAGTTGCTGGACGACGGAGAAATCACCGACAGCACTCGCAAATGCGACATTCTTGAGAGGCTCCTTTCGCAGCTTTCGGCAGACACGGGCGCCTTGCTCCCCGAGAAGCTCGTCGCCGCTGAGTCGTTTCTAAAGTCTCTCGAACATCCTAACATGTGCGCCACTTACCTTCATGAGCTCACCAGATTTTGCGACGCTGAGTGGCCTGCTCTTGTGGAAAGAAACACGAACGCGTCCACCTTGCCTGAAATTAGGTACATTGATCGTCTGGAAGAAAAATTGGCCATACTCCAAGCGATCAGCGAAGCAGAGATACCCAGCCAGTACCGCAACAAGCCCAAAAGACGCATTGACCCCAGTAGGGTCACAGTGAACGTCTGGGCTGCTTTTTGGGTTGCAACTGTTGAAGAGCTTCAGGAGTTCCTTGAATCCACGGTCAGAAGTGGTACAGTACCCGTCGAAATGATTGAAAGGCAACTCGTTGCCGTCAGCGGCGAAGTTCCAACGGTCGAATCGGCCGGTGAGTAGCTGATTTATCGTCCAGACCCGCGTAGAAGTGGTACATGAAGCTGATACATGAGCATAATCACAGTGATGAACAAGCGGACTATCGGTACATCTTCACAGGCAACATCCTCCCGGCCTGCAACGCCCTCTCAGCAGGCAACATCCTCCCGGCCGGCAACGCCCTCTCAGCAGGCAACGCCATCCAAGCCGGGAGCTTCCTCTCAGCAGGCAACGCCTTCCAAGCCGGCAACTTCCTCTCAGCCGGTAACGCCCTCCAAGCCGGCAACTTCCTCTCAGCCGGTAACGCCCTCCAAGCCGACAGCCTCCTTCCAGCAGGCAATGGGCAAGAGTGGCGTTGGCAGCAGCATCCAGAGTTTGCCAGACAAGGGCAAGGGGAAGGAGAAGGCGACACGCAAGGAGTCTTCGATCAGAGACGTAGGTTTACTAGTATCCAAGCATCGTCTAATCATTACATCGTGCTAACGTATGATTCATAGACCAAAACGAGGGACAATGAGAAGTGCACACTACTGCACACCGCCGTCACAGAAGCTGCGCACATATATCCAGTGGCCAAGATAGAGGCAGCAGAAGCCTGCAGAGCTTCACTCGGCGTTCTCGACTTCATCTGGGGCGGCGACACATGCGAGAAGTTCAAGGACGCACTCGGCGTCAAAGACCTTGACCTGCCGATGAATATGGTCACCCTTGACAATGCTCCCCACCATTTGTGGGATCATGGGAAGATTTCGCTCCCCCCTGTACTAAGCACGCCTAACAGAATCGACCTCATGGTTAGAATTCTTGAGCCTTTGGACTGGAGCAAGAGAAAGAGAGCAGGATCCGCGCTTCCCGACGGCCTTGCGACAGATCCTAGGACGAAGGTGAAGAAGGAAACCCCTCTGGACCCCACCAGCAAGCACACAAAGAAGACAGTCAAAGAGCTTACGGACATATGCTTCGTCTCTGCGGATACCCAACACCGAATTTATGATGGCCATCGATTTTCAATCACCTCAGACGAACCCGATCTCCTTCCAAGCGCGGAACTCTTGAGACTGAGGGACCGTGTTATGGCCATGATGACGCTGAAGGGAGGTGCTGACGTTGACGACGACGTGCTGTCTAGCTCTAGTGGCGGGGATGATGCCCCGAGAGTTCTGATCGGAGATGGATATTTTGAGGGTGATCTGGAGGACAAGGTTCTCGAGTGGAATGAGCGTGCCGAAGGAGAGCTTGCTCCGTTGAGTGTCGATGAGGTAGACGAGATGGCCTGGACCTCGTCAGTGATCCAGCAGCCAGAGACTGTGGGAGACATCTTCCCTCCTGAGGGCCAGCCGGAAGATCGAGGTGAGAGCCGAGGAGATGACTAGGAACTCCCTCCTCCCTCTTCACCTCTCGGTCCCGAGGCTTCAGAGGATGACGGCGACCTCTTCTTCCCAACTTCCACTGGTGTCCATCGTCATGGATCTTCCAATCAACCTAGAGAAGTCCGAGCGGCTCTCGCAAGGCTCGACTCCGGACATGGAAGGACTGGTGTGCTGCGAAATATGCCTATGAGACCTCGAGGCACCAGCGTGCTGGGACTTCGAGGCACCGGTGTGCTGGGAGATGTGTCCACCAACACGCCTGCATCCGCCAGCTCCAGACACCGCACTGGCTCACTCACACAGCATCAAGGTAGACCACAACCTCCGCAGCCTGGCCCAGCCATGGGAATCCCAGGTAGTGGTACCTTCCCCCACTGGGTCCGCAAAGAGGACAGTGACCCGAATAACACTGGTGCCGCCCAGGCGTCGAAGGACTCTACTGCCAGTCAGACGTCCCCGCCTGTCGACGAAATCACTCAAGGACAGTTGCCACCCAAGGCTTGATGCAGAAGACATATCACGATGTACGGCTGAGCCCAGAGGAATTGGATCAAACAAGCGATACGCAAGTAGATGGAAAGAATCGCATGTGGATTCAGGAATGATTTGGAGGGGAGGATGCGAATGATGAAGTTGGAGTGCGGTAATTATGACAGTATCAGTTTCAGGCAATGATCCGGAGCCAGATTCGTTTTCTCTAGGTACGAAAAGAATCCAAAGCTTGGATCCGCGTAGGTTCAGGCGGTGATGATAGACGCGCTATTCACTACACTGCTTTCAAAAACTCTTCTATCGTCGTCGCTGTCGTCGTCACTGTCGTCGTCGCTGTCGTCGTCGCTATCGTCGTCTATGCTCGTGATTACTATCCATTCCTCTATTTTTAGACCGACGTGCGCCCGTCTGAAGTTTCGGGGGACATTACCTGGCCGTCAAAATTAGTTCCACATAACGTGATTACGAATGCAAGTGAGTGGGCTAGAAACCGTTGTCTTCGATAAACAGTGGAAGGAAGCTTACTGCAAGTTCGTCGATGTCGGAACTGTTCACGAGGTGAGATTGTCTCGCTCCAAAAAATGGTTCATACTGCAAGGGAAAACAAGTCAGCATCCAGAGATTTCGTCCGAAACTTTTACCGCTTATTAACATGGGCAAACATGATTGCTCAATCATCAGCTCTAGCAGACCAATAGTTGAATCCCACGACGGTTGGCGGCTGAACAACCACCCTTGTCTTCGCTACATGCGTAGTTCAACCAAAAGACCCAGCTAGTTACTATTTTCACTAAGTTTCCATATTAAGCGTCAGAAAGAAACAGTTTGTGAGTATCATTGCGGGTGAGCTGGAAATTTCTCAGCAATCTGACTGAGAGGTTGGGGAAACCACAAACCACTCATTTACCGCCAGTGTACGCTCACAGAATCCGCGGTAATTCTGCCGCAGCTGGCGCCCAGAAATGCCACATATGACTTTTAACACGTTTCTCAATGACCTCTGGCTCTTGTTTTATAAATCACTCCGGAGTTCAGACATAGCCTTGTCTGTCAACATGCTTTACCCTCCCAATTGTATCCCAACAAACCGTACAACTCATCTCCCCCAACAATGGCTATCGCCAGCTTTTACTCCAAATACTACCAAGAATATCAATATTCAGAAGCATTGCACCATTCTAAGTACGCCGCGGAGGGATTCTGTGCTGAATTTGTGTTGAGAAAGTGCTTCGACGATGATGTTACGGTTGTAGGCTGCGAAGCTGCTAGGGCTGATTGGGGACGTATGGTTGGATTGAACTCAACCCGAGCGGGCTGCGAGAACGCCGTCATTGGTAGTTTCGCTACTCTCTGCCTGCCGATGATTGCACCAGAGCGAACATGGATTACTAGCTACATCCTTGAATCTGAGTATGTCAGGTTTCCTTGGTGTATGTTGGCGTCTCAGGCAGCAAGTGAACGTGCGATCCGGCTATTCCAAGAAATAGTCAATCTTCCGTAGATGCGTTAAGTCAGATTCCAGAAACTGGCTGCTTTTCTAATGCTGACTCGGCCCATCATTAGACGCCTTTCTCCAGGATAACCTCACGGATGCCACCGGCAAATAGACACCTTGAACGAGCAGCTTGCGAATAGACTCAGCACGTCAATGAAGGATCAAGTGTCGCTTGCCGAAGCCAAAAGCGGCATGAAACAAATTCATGAGTTCATGATGGAGAGAATTCTCGCTATTGACAAAGTCACGGGGATGAAGATGCTCAAGGTTTGGACGCTTTTCATCTCTCATGGTGCAGGCCCCGGTAAGAACATTCAGTTTGAAAGCTCCGATGCATTTGTCAACTATGGCTTGGTCGATGTCGCGGGCGAGTGAGTACAGATGTATCTTAGCGCGACCCGTTCCACTACGAAACCACACACGCTGACGTTTAATAGGTGGGTAGACTACGTTATGCACTTTGGCATGAGTCTTACAGAAGAAGAAGAGCGTTGCTCTGCTCCAACTTTCAGGCTGGCTTACCTTATTGCGGTGTTACACAATGATTACGTCTCCTTTGACGTTGGATACTCTATCTGCAAGGACGATCACGAAGCCAAGTCTCTCCAAGCTTTCACAATTGCTTCACATGTAGTCTCTGAGGAGCCTTTATGTTTTATGAACCTTGTCATGATGTATCTGAACGAGATGGGTGTCAATGAAGCTAAGAGATCTACGAAGTTGAAGACTCAGGCGTATGAGGACGAGTTCCATTGTCCATGGCTGGACCTTACCCGCAAAGAGCACGCCACTGATAATGTCGTCAAGTATGTCACTGGACTGAGCTATATGGTTTGTGGGAACCTTGCACGGAGTCTAGATGCGCCTCGGTATAGGCCCTAACATCGACCTTCTTTGATTCAGAACAGGACGAGGTAACTGGGTTGAAGGGAACCAACATTCAGCTTTCAACGCACATATAGTCCACAGCGGGACAGCGAGGTTACAGATCGGTCTCACTCATGTTGTCCAGGTACACTATGCGAATCGCAAATGCTTTTCGTGCATTCATTATGTTCGTATGGATGTTGTCACACTGCTTGCCCAAATTTGTACTCTTTCTTAGTGAACGTTTTACGGCAACTGACATCAAACCGCCTAACTTCACAAGCTATGATGAACACTGTATTGTATTAACGCTCTTGACTCATAATTATAAACAAGAGGCTTCCATTTATGATCTTCCAATCATGGTAAGACAAGATCGTTCTCCAATACCGGTTCCCCCGAGCTTCAAGATTGAGTTTCTTCTGTTTCTTCAGGCTTACGCGCATAAACAAGATTACTGCGACATGATTAGCTTCTCTTCGATTTCATGTACGCATGTTGACGCCGAATGAACCGACTTACAGGTGATAGAAGGGCTGGAGACTCAGGTCCTTCAGAGCTTTCCGCATCTCAGCAACGAAGACGATAATTTCGGCGTATTCCCAACCCATTATCTCCTTGAGAAGAAAAAGCGCAAATCCCTCGAGCGACTGGTCCAGGTACATCCAGTTGCACTCGCCGATTTCCTTGAGCATGGGGTCAGCGGGCCACGCGCCAATGGGGATGGGCCATTTCTTCTCCACAATGTCGACAAAGCCAGCCTCCCTGAGGGCCTTGGCGATTCCGTGGTTTCGAGACTGCTGAATGGTCTTTCCGAGCTTGTCTGTGGCCTCGAAGAAGACTTTTGCCCATCTACGGTAGACGTGGTCTTGAGGCAGGTCCTGGCCAAGAGCCTGAGAATGATCTTCAATGTCAAGCTCCTTGATCTCAATGTAGCCGCCCGGGTTAAGATGATCGAATACTTGTTTGTAGAGGGCAGGCCAGTCCGAGATGCTGGCCTCGAGATGGCGGATGTGGATGTAGTCAAAATCGGCGTCCCATGTCCATGGCTGCTCAATATCGTCGACCTGGAACTTGCAGTTTGGAGGTACCCAACCAGGCTGAATGGGCGATATATCAACGCCTGTTACCTGGGCCGAGGGAAATTCGTCGGCAAAGTCGCTATGGGTTTGTTAGCGGTTGCGAGATTGGACGAGAGCGTGCACCGGGACTCACATGGCCCAAATGCCTGTCCCCGTTCCGAGGTCAAGAACCTTCTATTTCTTCAATCAGACACTGCCAGGGCTGAGATATCTTGCATTGAGACTTACTTGGGGGCTGTCACCAATTGGAGCAAGGAACAGCTTATCGTCAAGAAATAGAGTCTCCCAGTAATGCCTTTCGGGTGAAAGAGTTAATCCAGCTCGTTTTATATGGGTGACGTTCAATAATTAAAACAATGTGAGCATAGTAGAAGCTTACGCAATATCAAGCCCTTCATTCTGCCTCTCGTCATTCGGGAGGCAATAATCGGTCTTTTGGGTGTAAGTGCGCCCGTGAAGGCGCCGATACTCGGTGATGCTCTCGCTCAGAGATGCTGTCGAAGCTGTATGGACACTGCAACCAATCATTTGCAAATTTGTAAGCGTCTATTGCAATACGCATGGAGCCTAGAGTTTTAAATCACCTCTCCCCATCCCCCTGGGAGGCCCCGTCGTCAACAGCGATGCCCTGCTCCTAGTCGGCGGTCGTCAGCATACCTCTCGCCATATTGCGATTCTGCAGCCTTAAGCTGTTGCTTCGCCATGGTAAACCTACTTCATTGGCCGGGTCAGGAGCTATTTGCGCCTCGTTGGCAGCGGTGGGTTGAGCTGGAGCCTGCATTTTGCTTCGGCCTGATTTTCCGCGCAGTCAATGTGAAAGAACAAAAGACTCATGGAGGAAATGAGCATGGGAGGGAACATCAGTCTTTAAAATGACCTGAGGAAGAGGCAAGATAGCCGCGAACAGGGAAGTTACCCCTCTTTTCCAGCCAGCTGTTTGTCGTTGTTGGTGCTCGCTTTGCGAGCATCCACCCGAGATACCGGAGTCTTCGCCCGCCTCCGCGCACGAATTGGACGCATTTTTTATTCAGTTCAGATGCAGGCTCTAAGCGAATTGTGAAAGGTATGGGTCGATTTCCGTGTCCATCGAGGAGCCAACAAACAGCAGACAAGGGGCTCGACCAATCAGTGCGAAATGAGGAAGGCTGTATGTACATGAAGACAAGGGTCTGATTGCGTTGGTTGAGCCAAGAGCTGGCGCATTTGCAGATTCCGGTCAACAGGTAGGGAATAGTCCCACTATGAGTGGCACCTTCAGATCGAGAATGGAGGTAAGAAATCTGCAACTGTGTTCAATCGACCGAGAACTGATCAACCAGCTTTAAATGATAAGTAAGGAACCAGGCTGAATGAGTCATGACAATGAACTCAACGACGAAGATAGTCGCTTGGTTTCAAAGCTTTCGTCCGAATCGTGTTTGAAGACACTCTGTTTCAAAAACGTCGACAGTCGTCTAAGTCTTCATTTCTTCCGCCGGAGGAAGCTTCGTTCGCTTCTTCTTCATCGTTGTCATAGTGACCATGACTGTCACCTGTATTGGTTCTAGACTTCCTTCCGGGGATCAAGACTTGTAATGTGTCCTCGATGGCGTGCAAGTACTCCCCGTCAGCCTCTTTTGGTTATTCTCCAGGACGGAGCTACGTGGCCGAAAACGACTCCTCTTTTTAATTCTAATTGCTCCGCCTTTATCAAGAGTTCAACCTTGACGAGATTGCGACCGAAACGGTGGTTAGGTATGTGACTGGACCGAGTCCCATGGTTTGTGGCAATCTTGTACGGAGCTTAGATGCACCTCCCTACAAACTTTGATCGCTGACTTAGTCAAGAAATGGCTTCGTGACAACTATGGCCATCCCCAAAATCTATAAGAACATCTTGGGAGTTAGCCTTTTGATTTTCCTGGGTTAGTCGGAGTGTCTATGAGACCTCCAGGGAGTCGGTTCCATCATCCTCGGGTAATCCATCACCAGGTAATTCCTCAATCCTAACTCAAGTGCGAACCCCCTTCAAACTATTCAGCGCAGAGTCACAAGCAACAGTCACAACGTTATTGTCCCTCCTCAACTCTTTAGCCAGCTCCAGCGCAGCAATAACATTCAATGCCGTTGAGGGCCCCGCATAGAAACCCTCCTTCCTCCTCAGATATCTGCACATCTGCTGCGCGTGTATCTCATCAACATCTATATACCTCACCTCGTCATACAACCCCCGATAAAGCAGCGGCGGCACAAACCCGGCCCCAATCCCCCAAATATCGTGCTCCCCGGGCCTTCCGTGCGTGACGGCCGGCGAAGCCCACGGCTCCAGGACAGCCGCCTTTGTCGCAGGATTCTCAGCCTTCAAAACCCCTGCCAAACCCATCGTCATCCCCGCCGTCACAAAAGCCGTGCAAAACGCATCAACGCCCCCGGGAACCTGCTCCAGCAACTATTTCCCTAGAGCCACGTACCCCGCCAGCGCGTCCCGGTTATGAAACTGGTCCACCACAAACGCCTCGCGCCGGCACAGCTCCTTCGCCGCCACCTCCCTCATGCTCGCCCACAGCTCCAGGGTGATCTTGCGACGACCGTTGCGCACAGTGTCCATCTTGGTCCCGAGCGCAGCCATCGTCAGCAGCCTCTCGACCGCGAGCGTGTTCGACGAAAAGGCGTGGGAGCGGGGCACGATGTGACGGAGGGGGATGAGCGGGTTGTCGTCTATGGCGGCGAGGACTGGGTAGAAGGCACAGTGGGTGTCGGGTTGTTCACGATGGGTGTCTTGGGGTTGTGGTGTTGTGAGGTTGGTGGGATGAGGTTGATGTGGAGGATCAGTTGTGATGTCTAACAGGATGGTCTTATGTGCGGGAGCGTTGAATCACAACATCTGACTCTTGTGAGATACACACATAGTCAGACTTCCTTTGAATTGGAATGGCGCACGGAAGTCCTAGTCAGTTGTCGCTAAGGATGATATGGGGATGAATGAGAAACAAGTAGCCAACCGTTGCTCTCCCCTACCTACTTCTTAGGTACCGGACGGACTCATGCTTGTACATTTTGACGATCGATTCATGGACTTTTTGAAAGAAATGTCCAACAAGAACTTCATAAGCCTTCTTGAGACGAAAGAATTTCGTCTCTCCCTCTACGCCTATTTCAAATAAAAACTTTATAAGTCACATTTAACTTATCAAAAACCCGAACAACACGGACTGATTACGTGATCAACCTCGAACACCAGGGCCGTGCGCCCGTGACAGTTCTCATCCGGCGACACTGTGCGCTCAGTGCGTCCCGTCGTCGCGTCACCCATGAGCATGAAGCGGTTCATCTCGTCAACGCGATTGAGAGGATCTAACACCCAGAAAGCTGGACTACCTGTTATAATCTCATACAATCATTCCTTGAGATACAGGACAGGAAATCACTCATTACTCCTACCCAGAATTAGCACTACTATGCCTGCCGTCACACGGAGTCTCCGGTCGTCGACGCGCCTGAGCGCTGCGGCGCCGGCGGATGAGAAGAAGACGGCTGCTGAGAAGAGCAAGGCCCCTGCCAAGACCAAAGTAGCCAAGAAGGAGGCGACTAGCAAGACTCAAACGGAAGAGAAGACTTCGAAAGCAGCTGGCGCTGGTCGCAAGAGGAAAGCCGTTGAAGCCGAGCCGGAAGATAAGCCGGAACCCAAGGCCGAAGTCAAGAAGCCCGCAGCGAAGAAGGCCAAGGTGCGCTTCACCCATACCCCCACGAACCACACTCATTCTCTGACACTTCCACAGAAACCCGCCGCAGGCAAGAAAGAGGCACCGCCGAGAAAGACCAAGGACGAGCTCAAAGCCCTCCGCGACGCCTCCGCTTCCGTGCCGGACGTTAACCCGGACGCTGAGCGGAGGGATCCGCCGGAGGAGCGGTACTGGCTCATGAAGTCGGAGCCGGATGTGCGGATTGAGGATGGATATGAGATTAAGTTCTCGATTGATGATTTGGCGGCGAAGAAGACCCCGGAGGGGTGGGAGGGTAAATTTCTTCATCAACCTCATTTAAAGACTGACAACTGACGATGCAGGTATTCGCAACTACGCGGCCAGGAATAACCTCAGAGACATGCGCAAGGGCGACAAGGCCTTCTTCTACCACTCCAACTGCAAGGAGCCGGGGATCGTGGGCATCATCAGCATCGTGAAGGAGCACTCCCCAGACTGTAGGTACCCCCCTCCCCAGTGCCTGAGCTAGCTGACGACGGCAGGGAACGCGTGCATCAACGACAATCCCTATTACGACGACGCGGCGCCCCACGACGGTAGCAAATGGAGTCTCGTGCACGTCAAGATCGAGCACAAGTTCCCGCGCATTGTGCCGCTGTCCCTGCTCAAGGAGGTCGGGCTGAAGGGCCCGCTGGCGAACATGCAGCTGCTCAAGCTGGGCCGTCTCAGCGTTAACAGGGTTACGAAGGAGGAGTGGGACGAGGTGATTCGCATGGCGAAGGAGCTTGACGAGGACGGGGAGTGGGAGAAGGCTGTTGAGGAGGGCAAGAAGTTTCCGAATTACTCGGCGGCGTAGCGTGTTTGCTTCAAACCAGTTCAATTAGGGGCTAACGCCGAGTATGCAAGTGGTATCAAGGGTGGTGCGTCGGTTCTGCACCGTCTATTCCCGTCAAATGCGCATTTCGAGCACCGCTTTTCCGTTTTCCTTTGCTTTTCTGTACCAATAGCCAATTTTTTTCTTCCCGATATCCACACAGCATATTTCACGCCTGCAACTTGGCCTTTGTAGCCTCCAACACAGCCTTGATGCCCTCGTCCAGGTCCTCGACGAGGAGAATCATCTGGATCCACACCATGCTCTTGCTCCGCAGCGCCTCCTTGTCCGACGTCTCGTCCAGGCCCTTGCCCAGCCTGGACAGCACCTCGCGAAGACCCAGCGGGAACTCGGGCGTGTCGGGGCTGACGCCGACCAGCGGCAGGCGGACGTAGCAGTTCCACGTCGCGGGGTGGGCTGCGTCGAGCGCGCGCATGGCCTCGACGACGTGGGTGATGATCCTCTCGAGGCATGAGACCTTGGCGAAGGTAGCGAACATGTCGAAGAAGCGCTCGGCGACGTCCGGGGTGAAGAAGGACTGCTTGCGGGAGATGTCGAAGATGGCCATGGGTATGGCGCCGTCCATGGCCGGGTTGTTCTTGAGCTTCGCGGCGGCGTCCTCGTCGATGACCTTCTTGCCGGGGACGGGCAGGTCGTCGCCCTCCTCGTTCTCCTCGTCCTCCTCGTCGCCAAAGCGGATCTCGTCGTCGTCGTCCATCTTCTCGCCCGCCAGGGGGTTCGCGTCCTTCTTCTTCCCGCTGCCGCGCTTCGCGTCCATCTTGGCCAGCCACTCCATCTCGCAGCGCGCGTACTCGATCCACAGCGTGCCCTCGGTCGTGCAGAACCGGCACCCGCGCATGAAGTACCCCCGCGCGCCGCCCATGTCGCCGTTCTTAGCGGAGCGGCGGCCGGCGTGGATCCACAGGTCGGCGTCGGTGGGCATCATGCGCAGGGCGGCGGCCATGGTGCGGCGCCAGCGCTTGGAGGCCTTGACGTCCTCGGTGTAGGCGAGGTACTCGAGCCAGAGGTCCTTGCGGGAGGGGTGGCGGGCGACGGCGCGGTCGTAGATGGCGAGGACGCGGGCCTGGGAGGCGTGCTGGGAGTTGACGTGGCCGACCTTCATGCGCCGGCAGCGCTTCTGGCGCAGGGCGTCGAGGGAGGTTTCCCATTTCGCATAGGAGGAGAAGTCGGCGGGGTCGGAGCGCGGGGCGAGGATGCGGTGCTCGAAGTCGCTTCGTTTCTGGACGATTGTGCGGATTTCTTCCTGTGGTGGGTGTGTTAGGATGGTGTCTTGGTGAGATGTCTTGTTTGTCTGCCGAGGTCGAGGGCGAGGACGAGGGTAGACTTGCCTTTGTGAAGATTTCCTTTTCCTCCCACTCGCGCAATTGGGGAACGGAACGCTCCAAGTAGAAGCGGGCCTTTTCAGCGACGGCCATCGTCTTCGAGTCTGCAGGTGAGGTCGGACTGCTGTGGTGGTTGCGGTGGTGACCTTGTCTGTCGGTGTCGGCTACCGAGTGCTGCTGCTCGCTTGACGAAAATGAAGCAGATCGGGATCGAGATCTGCGAATGCTTGACCAGCATTGGAAAAAAAAAAAAAAGTTGCGAGGCTGAGCACGGGCCCCATCAAACCAGTGGGGCCAATTTTATCGGTGTGGGGCATCAAGAGCTCTTGAGTCGAAGCTGATTGGGTTCTGGGATCTTTCAGCCTTGTGCCAAGCTCCCCGGCGGCGCTAAACCGTAAAGTGCCTCCGCCATTCCCTGTCCCAAAGCAGCGCCCGTTTGGTGCCATTGGGGCCATTCGGTACCATTTGGTGGTAAACAGCAGGGCAGCACGCACGAAAGAGCAGAGCTCCAGTGGGTTTCTGCCGGTGGTTCACGGTGCATTCTGTCATCACCTTCCCTGCCATGCAGCTCCACTGTGACGCCCCGAATGCTCCGGGGGCCGCACGCTGCCCGCGGTGTCATTGCTAATGCTGCCCGCACTTGCCGCATCGCAGCGTTACTTCACTGCTGCTGCTGCTGCTGCTGCTGCTGCTGCTGCTGCTGCTGCTGCTGCTACCTCATTGCTTGCTTACTGCTGGCTGCAAACCATAAGGCGCCTGCCTGGGACAAACGGACACAAACACGCGATCGGCCCGCCGAGGCACAAGGCACCGATTCCACTATTATTGCTTAGGTCCTTCCCTTCCACATTCCCCTCCAAATTCCCATCTTCCCTTCCTCTCCCACCTCTGCCATCTTACCTCCCACACACACCTCCCCTCGACACACACAACACCACCACCGGATCACCCGGATGACCCTCTCTTCCCTTTGTTTTGCTTGAGCTGTCCCTTCCGCCATGTCGTCCAAGTACAAGGACAAAGACGGCGGCGTCGTGCTGACCTTCAATGGCCAGTGGGTGAGCTGGTCGCACACTGCCATAGCTTATAGTAAGTCGGACCATTTTCCGGTTTGCGATGGAACCTCGTCGCGATGCTGCTGCGCGCACAATTCTCGTCACCTGCCCGCGCCCTCGGGACGACAGCAGGCGCACCACCCAAAGAACAGCTGGACTGACATCTCTGCGCGCAAACAGCTGCCTTCATTAGCGCATTCATCGTCGGCGTCTCCCTGCACTTCCACAAGATTGTCCAGAATGAGTGGTACGGCTACCCGGACGAGTGGTTCCCCTCCGTCTCCGCGACCATTGGCGACCGGTACCCCGAGCGGTCCTTCTTCATGCTCTTCATCGCAATCACCTCCGGCCCGCGCTTCGCACTCGTCGGCCTGTGGTACCTCCTCACCCGCCGTCCGGGCCAGACCCTGCCCAAGTTTACCTTTGCCATGGGCATTCTGCGCACCTTCATGTGCGGCGGCTTCACCTACGTGACCTCCACCGACGATCACGACTGGCACGACATTTTCATGATCTCCTACATTGTCGCCTCGCTGCCCTGGACCATTGGCTGTGTCACGCTGAGCCCGCCGAATCCCAAGGCGATCAAGTACCGCAAGGCGATTGCCTACTCCTTCTTCGGTACCCTTGTGCCGCTGATTTACTTCTTCATTCAGCACAAGGTGCACCGCGTCGCCGGAGGTGGGCATCCCTTGATTCCTCGCCTGCCGGGGCCCAATTGCTAACAGATACCAGCCTACACGATCTACGCCTTCTTCGAATGGGCGCTCATCCTCTTCGACGTTGCCTTCGACGCCGTGACGGCCCTCGACTTCGACACCTTCGAGGTGGTGATCAGGGATGTCAAGGGTTCCAGCAAGGGGTACGTCCAATGGCTCCCGAAATAGTCTTGTACATACCAGTACAGCAGACCAAATAAATCCGCTTCGAGGCTCCCTTTCTAAGGCTTGTAATAGTGAAAACCGGTCGTCTGTCCCCTCTGCCGTTCTCGAGAAGGAGTAGGTCCCCCCATCCCTGCGCTCGCGTGTGAACGATTACTCATGTGCGCACAGGAAAGAAAAGGCCAGCGCCGGCGTGCTGACTGCGCGCTTCACCTGGACCGAGGCCCTCGATACCGCCGCCGATGTCTACCATGGCTTCATCTTCTGGTCCATGTTGACGAGTCTGGGCGTTTTGGTGTGGTACTTCCCGCTGTGGCACATGGGTATTTCTGGCTATGAGGCCTTCGTCATGTCCACGATCCTGCCCGGCATTTTGGGAATTCGCTCGGTTCGCTCGCTGGTGATCAACAATCAGCGCTTCGTCCACCTGATTTCTTTGGTTGGTCTGCTGGCCTACCTGGTCTTGGACCCTGCGAAGCGCCTGTTCACCGTTGGTTTCGCCGTGGCTACCTCGTGCCTCGGCTGGGTTGCGACTTGGCACTCTGAGAGAGCCCACCAGGCCCGCCTCGAGTCCAAGATTCTGGCGTGGACAATTGGCCTGATCGCCTCGTCCACGGCCAAGTTCATTTGGTGGACGAACAATCCCCTCTGGCCCGTCATGCACGCTGCCAACGGTGGCTGGAATGCCACTGGCTTTGCGATTGCTGTGGTTGCGTGTTTGAGGTTTACCCGAAAGGCACCCCTGACCCGCGGCGACTACCCGGAAGACTCCAAGGGCGGTTCTTCCCTGCTCGCTGCTTTTGGTGTTGGTGGTCTGTTCTTCGGTATCCACTCGCTTCTGTCTGACACCAGCACCATGATCCTCTGGGTCTGGGATGGTTACCCGATCCGCGGCCCCACAGCCAACACCTACGGCTGGATGACCATCATCGCCATGACCGCTGGTCTCCTGGTCGGTCTTTACCGACCCGGCTTCATGAGCTCATGGACCGCGTACGGTGTTGGCTGCGTGGGTGCGGCCATCCTCACCTCATACCACCATTGGTTCGGGTACTACGGCGCTCTCACCACCGCCTTCTATCTCATGGGTCTCAGTGTCCCCTTTCTCTCCAACGCTGCCAAGAGAAGCCCTGGTCTGACATTTGGTCTGGGCTTTTTCATCTACAACTTCATGGTTCTCTTCCACGTCTGGGTCGTCGCTTATGCCTTCGTCCCCGGTGGCCCTCTCGTCCGTGAGCACACTGACTGGGTCATGATGACCACCTTCATCCTCATCGGTGCTGGTGTCTTTGACCTCACCTCCTCGCAGGCCCGCCGCCCCGCCAAGAGCCGCTCCTCCCCCTCCCAACACAAGAAGTACAATACCATTGCCGCCTTCTTCGTCAATATTGTCTTCCTCGCCGCGGCATTCATGCGATTCCCCACCAACGACTACAAGCCGTACCACCCCGAGGACCGCATCCTCACGGCTGGCATCTGGACCATTCACTTCTCTCTCGACAACGACATGTGGTCCTCTGAGTACCGCATGCGCGACCTTATTAAGGAATTGGAGATTGACGTCGTCGGTCTCCTCGAGTCAGACCTTCAGCGCATCATCATGGGCAACCGTGATACCACCCAATTCCTTGCCGAAGACCTCGGCATGTACGTCGACTACGGCCCAGGCCCCAACAAGCACACCTGGGGATCCGCCCTCCTCT